AATCCTCACCATGCTAATTTTAATGGAAATGTTACTATTGACTTGATTTGCATAAAGATTTGATTAAGAATTTCTAAGGTCTTGAATAAAAACCCCAAGGAAATGGACAAGCTTTATCCAGTGGGTAAAACTGCTCTGTATGGAAACTGATTTTTTTTAGTTGGTGCAACTTGTCGGGAGTCAGCTCAAGGTGATGCCAATACAGTCCGATAGTATAACAAGAGACAAACGTGCACAAAAGATAGTCCCACTGAAAGCTTTTTAACTGAGCTAGCTCAACCTTCTTCTGAGGCAAAACTGCTTATGCCTCCTAACAAACAAAACTGAGAATATCTCATACACTGTTGCTACAGCACACACTGAAAACTATTGGTRRTTCTGAGTGGGAGAAATCCTCTTCRGTGGGAACAAAAAGACATTGGGAAAAAAAACCCCAGACATGGATCTTGATGAAATTCTAGTCATAGGTAAGCTCCCAGGTAGAGCCACAACCCCAGCAATGGTTTTTAAAATGTTTTACCTCCTTTGGTTATGCCAGCCTGGGGAGCCTTAGCTGTCCACTCTGTGACTATTGAAGAGGTAGATCAGTGGCAGGTACYGTAAACCATTCCTGCATCAAGGTCACAGTGTGAGACCTGCAAATATGCTGGAAAAGATCCAAATAGGCCATGCAACCAGTGAGGAAGTGCTTCTACCAAAATAGAATCTGCTTTCCCCTAATTTCTTGTTCTCCTTCTTTTATACCATGTTCGGTATTACTGCTAAAGCAAATGTGTTAACAATAAATGTCTTCAGTTTCACTCTCATTTGAGAGCCTTACTTTCTGTAATATTATACAAATGATCCTCCACCAAATCTGAGCAGATTTTTCCACAAATTACACTAAAAAGGGCTTTGGATCAGAATGCTAGCAACTGTCAAAAACTACAGCACAACTTTCACCAACAGTAGGAAATAATTTCCCCCCAAATTAACCCTCAGTATTTTGCTTGCATCGAGAATACGGTTTCATAAAACACTGCCACAAATTCCAGGGAACACCCCTCAGTCAAAAATTACGGAAAGTGTTTGATTTTTTTTTCCAGGGATGTATGTTAAAAGGAGATCTCATTTCAAAAAAAACCCTTGTGCTCTTGAAAGACTGTGAGAGAGAGCAATGTTCACTGTAGCACAGTAAGGGCTGTTTTCCATGACACAGTGGAAATTTTATGAATGGCTCTTGCCAGCACAAGCCGTTTGACAGGGAAATTAGGGTATCTGTAATAATAATGCACTGGAAAAAGCAACAGAATTTTGAAATGCTCTACTGGAAAAAGATACATCTTTGGGAACATAATGTAAGCATCTTGGAAGTTCTGCATCTATTGAGCAACACTCACTGAAATATCCCCGGCATGAGTTATCTGAGAGTCTGTGTGTAAGGAAAGAATGCTGAGAATAGAGCTAAGCAAATTAAATTAATTGCACATCTGGGTCCTTGTTCTGAATCCATGTATCTGAAAACTACRAATGATCTCATGTGGAAAAAGAAACTGCTGGAAGCTCTTCCTTAGTCAGACGTGAAACAGTTCTGTGCCTTTCTAGGACTCTCCATTATTTTCTCCTTCATTATTTATTGGTAATACAGAACAGTTTGATAACTGTAYAGGGATGCACACACTTATCAAATCTGTAAGAGACCACTCAGAATCAATCACTGACTTGCAATGTAAGTCTGAGTCTGTAATTCAGGAAGCCCAACTCCATCTACACTTTTTTTTTGTTTGTTTGTTTTCTGAGATATCTTTTGCCATCAGAGGTAGTATTTTCCCAGACCTGAAGGTGGAACTCTTGTTCCTTTGATGATCTKTACATGAGTGACATAGCATTTTGCATTGCCATTTTTAGCTCGAGGAGATTTGGACTTCTCTGAAGTCACCGCTGGGTTATCTGGAAGACCACATTAGCACTGGTAGCAGAACTGGACAGTCAGGCATGAACATCAACATCATGCTCACAATGAAATGGTCCAGGAGTTCTTCAGATGTTGCCTGCTAGAACTCACACACAAAAACCCTTTTCTTTTGGAAATATCATGATCCTGTTCCTTCTTTTGCTGCCATACAAGYACATTTCTTGGTCTTTTGCTGGAGCAATCAAGTTTAAGGAAAGGAAAGGCTGAATATAACTTTGGTGGTTGTGCCACCTCCATATTGGACCAATGTATTCTGCTGTGTATGCTTCAGCCACAGTGTATCTTTGGAAAAAATCTCCATTTTTTATTCACAATTTTGCATTGTTTCAAAACAGTTTCACAGACAATCTGATACTATAGCAAAAKAAGAGATGCCATATTTCTAGTCTCATTTATATTCTGGCTTTGCTTTCAGAATTTGTAATTTTCTGAAAACCAACATTTATTCTCTCAAACATCTCTAAGTACTACTCGGACAAGTACTACTATACTTATGACAAAAGCACCTCCTCACCTGCATTGGATTATATTTTTAAAATACCTCATGTTAATGCACATATTCCTCGTGTTTCGTATTTTCTTTTGTGGACTCTTTTCAATGCTTAACATCCCTTTGAAGTGTTAATGCTCAAACTGAATGCATTATTTTGATAATGGTTTCATCAGTTCTATAAAAAGGGGGAATATCCACTCCAATTGTATTTGATGTTCCTCTGGTTTTGCTTCAGATTTGTAGTTACCAAAAGCTTTGTTCTGAGAGCTCATGTTTAGCTGATTATGTCCAGGTCCTCTTTAGCACTGTCTCATGCCAGTCATTCTTCTCCCTCAGATTCCAGGTGTGCCTTTAAGGCTTTATCTTGAATGCACGACCTCCAATTTGACTGGCTTCAGAGTGGTATTTTTGCAAGTGAGAAGAGCTTACAAAGCAATTTAAAGGAGTTCATCTAAGTGAATTGCCCTTATCTCTATTTATAAGAGCAAATTTGGTATTTTTGTCTTAGTAATTTCTAATAGCACCAAGCCAAGAATAACACCAAGACAACCTTATGACAAATCTTCACTTAGAATTACTTCTCTCAAGAACTGTCATCTGAATCACTTATTATGAACTTATTATGAACTTATTATCACTTATTACGAGGAAACACTGAGGCAGCTGGGCCTGTTCAGCCTTGAGAAGAGACAACTGAAAGGAACCTTATCAATTTCTACAAGTATCAGTGGGGAGGGTCGGGAGGATGGAGCCTGGCACTTCTGGGTGGTGCCAAGCAATAGGACAAGAGACAACAGGCACAAACTCATGGGCACAGGGAGTTCCACCTGAACATGAGGAAAAGTTTCTGTACTGTGCACATGACTGAGCACTGGAACAGATCGCCCAGAGAGTTTGTGGAGTCTCCCACATTGGAGGTATTAAAGAATCACCTGGACAGAATCCTGTGACGTGTGTGCTGGGATAACCATGCTTGAGAGAGAAGCTGGACTAGATGACCCACCGTGATCGCTCCCAATCTTATCCATTTTCTAGTTCTATGATTCTGTGAGCTACACAGAATTTGCACTCCTCATTGTATTTATGAGAATAGCATACTGCTTTACATCATATGGAAGCTATTACATCAACATTATTACCTTTATCAACCAAATTTAAATTCAAACACATTTAATCAAATATTTTTTTCATAAAAATGTGTTGACTGGCATTTAATTATTGGCATTTAATGACTGTATCCAAGGTCAGCACTTCCATGATTCTGCTCATAATCTGGGTCAAACTGTCAATGCTAGGCTAGCCTGTRTCATACTCCTTAATATTTTTAAATATATGTCCAGTGTAAGCTTTTTCTTTCATACTCTGGTATTCCCCCATGTGACATTGCCGTTCCAGAACTGCACTGTGAACAACAGAACTAATGAAGGCATGGGATTCTGTTGATTTGGATTCTTCAACCTCTAAATTTCCTTCATTATAACTACAATTTATTCTCCATTAGCCTGCTGAAGATCCCAACTAGCAGTCTGGAACCATGTATATGTAAAATGAATGGCTAATACATACACTGGTAACAAGAATGTGTAAGAGCTGAGATTTTTGCTTACTATTCTTTCACTGAGGAAAAAAATTAAGGTTTATTTCCTCATTCCACAATTATCACATTTGTGATCCTATAAGTTCACAATCACTTCCTTCAAGTTAGACTGGAAGTGGCCAAAAAGTCATGGAACAACAGATAAACAGCTAACATAAGTCYTGTTTAGAACATCACTATCAACCTATATTCATATTTGTTACTTTGGAGATCTTAAGTTTATTAACGTTTAGCTGAAAAATGGTCTAATATTGGTGTAACATAGTTGCTCTACAGAAATGTAGAAATTGTATTACATTTCTATTCAGAGGTGACAAATTGATCAGAAGTGATACCAGGCTGCCCTCGGAGGTTCTGCTCCACCAGTCCCACAGGTAGGGACACGCCTACAGGGAGTGGATGCTSTGCCATCCAGGGGATGTGGTGTCGGGGGAGGATCCAATAATCAGTGGGTCAGGGCACAAACAGGTTATGCTTATTTTCAAATTTACTTTCAAAGCATGCTGAGGSAATGGCCTGAAGTTGTGTCAGGGGAGGTTTAGGTTGGATATCATTGAAAGGTYCTTCACCCWGAAGGTGTTTGGGCACTGGAACAGGTTCYYCAGGGAAGGGGTCAGCATCAAACCTGACACAGGTCAAGAAGCGTCTGGACATCGCTCTCGGGCACACGGTGTGATCTTGGGGATGTCCTGTGMATGTCCTGGCCGGGAGTTGGACTCSATGACCCTTGTGGGKCCCTTCCAGCTGAGAATATTTTACGATTCTATGAAAAGCTCTTAAAAYTTTGTCGGGAACCTTTGGTTCTCTTTCAAAGGAATACATTTAACTCTTCCCTCCCGATAAGCCCCTATCCCAGACTCCCGGGACTTCCTCCYTGGCAGGACAGCTTCTCCGCCTCCTTCTCCTCCTCCTCCCCGTCCCCTTCCCGCCCCGACCTGCCGTTCCCGRGTGGAGACAGCCGGGAGGGAGATGGCCCGAGGGCGGCGGAGGGGGTGTGCGTGTTTCGGGCGGGGGCTGGGCCGCTCTCCGCGGCGGAGGGGGAGCCCAGCGCGCCGGCTCCCGCCCAGAGTCCCGGGGCCGCCGCCGGCCGCGGTCAGCACGGGTGACACGGCCGCCCCATGGTGAGGAACSGCGGGCGGGTGAGGGGCGGAGGGAGCGGGGACCGGCGGGGCCCGGGCGGCTCCGCTTTCGCTTTCGCTCCCCGCGCCAGCGAGGCCAAGAGAAGGGACGGGCCGGGGCCTGGCGGGCGCTCAGCGGGCCCGGGGCTGGGCTGGGCCGTGCGGACGGGGCCGGTAGGAGCCGCAGCGGGGAGCGAGCGCCGGGTTCCCCCCCGCCATTCCCGGGTTCGGGCCCTCGGCAAGGCCGCGGACACCGCCGCTCCTCGGCCTGGTCCGAGCCCGGGGCTGGGGGATGAGCGGCGGGGGCTCGTCCCGCTCCCGCCCCTGCCCTGCCCTGCCCTGCCCGGCGGAGGGGCCGGGGGTGTCCCCAGCCTGGGGTGTCCCCGGCAGCGGCTGGGCCCGAGACCCGCCCGCCGTCAGGTCGTGGGGAGCTGATCCGGGACAGAACTTGGCGCACCAGCTTGGATTGTCTTATTTATTTATTTATTTATTTATTTATTTATTTATTTATTTATTTATTTATTTATTCTTTGCAGCGTGGCGAATTGTTTAGCCTGGCATTTTCGCGAGCTTTTAAAACCGTAAGTCAGGAAAAAAATAACTAGTTTAGTCCACTTGAAGCCTTTATATAAGGTTTAAAGCCCATCTTTATTTTTTATGCTTCTGCTCTTTGCACACACCCCTTGCCTTTCCRGGACATGGTACAGGTAGGGTAGGCCTCTGCAACCTGTTGGTCTTAAGCTGCTCCAGGGGGAGTTTAGGTTGGAAGAATTTCTTTAGCAGGAAGAATTTCTGAGTAAAAAGGTTGAATAGATATTGGAATGGGCTGCGCAGGAAGGTTGTGAAGTTGCTGTCCCTAGAGGTATTTAAGGAAAGAGTGGCTGTGGCACTTGGTGCCCTGGTCTACTTGACATGGTTGTGTTGATGGGTTGGACTTGATGGTCTCAAAGGTCTTTTCCAGCATAATTGATTCTGTGGTTCTAGGGTGAGACCAGAGGTGTGTAGCTCTGTCAATACCAAAACGTCAGTATTAGGGCCCTTGTTGCAGGTTGAACTGTTAGAGCCTCTTATGGCAGGCATCAGTGCACTACAGACTCGCTCCACCGGTTCTGCTTYGTGCAGAAGGTGTTCATGTGTTAGTCATTAGGTATTTTCTGCCCTTCTGCTGCTGGCTTAAATATGTTAATCTAGGACAAAATGCCTGTTGCCTGCTCTGATTTCTCAAAATGCAGTCATGTGCCCTTGCCTTCCTTGGATCAAGTCTGTGTTGCCTGGTGATCCACAAGTGCACAAATCTGCTGAGAACCATGGCTTGACACATACAGCTGCTGATTCTGGGTGTTCTGTGGGAAATCCCACKTGTGTGGTTGTTTATCCACTAAGCACTTGCATGTTACTTTGGGAACACGCTGGGGCTGGTGACTGTGCCTTATTTCAGCCTAACAAAACTATTTTTCTTGGATTCATTTTGYAGGCAAAAAGAAAGAGAAGTAATTTAGCCCCTAAGTGCAATTTGGCTGTAGACTGCACAAGAACATGTTCCTGACTAACTACAGGCATTAGCCAAGTAAGCAATAGTGAATTGTCGCTGCAATTTTGGGGCCAGTACCACTCTAGGAAGTGTTTCAGGTCACCTTAGGGAGAAAGCTATTGTACCTYGTTATGTTCTAATTAATTTTATTTAGAGGGAAAAATATTTTGGCCTTTCAGCCCTTATCAATGAGGCATTTATGCTGGAATTACTTTTTGTAAATGCTTCTCTAAAGTGTTGTGAGTGAATTAAAATCAGTGAGTTACATTGTGTTTCCTGGGGCARGCAGAACTCCTGAGGTTTGCTGTGCATTGTTGTACTGTATTTGAATGGAAAGTACTAGGCAGTTTAATGAAAGTTCATGGGTATTAATATTTGATGTGTATTTGCAGCATTTTYTGAAATTTATAATAACAAGTAACAAGTATGTTACCATACATGGGAAGAATTTTACCTCTGGTGTACTGCAGCTATGGGATTTGTGCTGCTGCAGCATGCTTTAGATAGGTCTTTTTTATTGATGTAGTTGACTGAAAGTTATTCTGCATCTGSGTCTTGATCACTTCTGGATAAGTGGTACTTCAKTCACTGATATTCRGATCCAAGGACAAAATCACCYTCCTAAGAAGCTGAAGTTGAGTGCAATGTTYTCAYTTGCCTGAGGAGAGTGTTTCGTAGGCTGCTACTCAGAGGGATGGAGAAATGGGCAGAYAGAAACCTCARTAATTCCAGCAGAGGCAATAAGAAAGCCCAGCACCTAGAATGGGTTGGGAAGGCTTGATGGAGAGCAGCCTTGCAGAAAAAGACCCATGTGTTGTGATGGACCACATGCTGGTTAGAGGGCTGGAGCATGGGATATTCAAGGAGAAATAAAGGTGGGCTTGTTCAGCCTTAAGAGCAGGTGAAGGAAGGGGAGATCTTACTGTTGTGGGTAGMAGCTGTAGAGCCAGGCTGCTCTTGGAGGTGCATGACAGTGGCATGAGGGGCAATGGACACAAGCTGGTTTTGCTACAAGGAAGGTCTTTGTGGTTGTGGGTTTGTTTTGTTTGTTTTTAGCCTGGACAATAGTCAGACACACAAGGAGGATCTGACACAGAAGGGAGTGAGTGTGTGGAGTGCCCRTCCATGGAGGTATTAGAACTTGACTGGACAAGGGCTTGTGCAATGGCATCTAATTCAGCTTGTACTGGATGGCATGTAAAAATCCCTGCCAGCATAAACTGTCCTGTTTTTTATTCTGTGGTTACTGAAAGAACAGGCATTATTACTTCAGTACTTAATTGTTAAAGTTATGCTTAGGAGAGCACAAGTTCAATGAAGTATGCAAGGTTTCCTTGAAATTGCAGCAGCAACAAGCAGAAATGCATAATGTTAATTTTATTTATTTAATGTTAATATTATGTGAACTTTTAAAAAATGTATGACATTGCATTGATAATTTATGGCTTATAATTTTTGTTGCAGAAGCTCCTATACTGTTTGAGATAAAATTAGGCAGGAGACAYGATGAGAATCTAAGGAGTTCTTACATTTCTCAGTTTTCAAGCTTGCTGCACGGTGAATTTTAGGCAGCAATGTCTTTAAGAGATTGGTAGACACAGTCATGGAAGTTGCTTTATTGTCTCGGAATTCTTAAGAAGAAGATGACTGTCCAGAGGCCTGCATGCAGCCAAATCTTCAAAATTCAAAATTYAGATCATCTACCCAAGGCACATGCCATTGTTTACATTAACTCTGCTTTCACACTGCTCCAGATTGAAAGTCATCTAAAYTATCAGTTTTGACTCTTATCAATCTCTAGATGTCATGAAAGGTTAAGGACAAAGTTATGATGGATTTAGCTTAGTCTCTGCTGTAGTTCTTCTAAGACAGAATAGGCTGTGTGTTTCTGTGAGTTCACAGAAAGCTTGAAGAATTTGTGTCATCGCTTTTTCAAGATGATTCAGTATTAAAAAAACATGACATGGCTATTAAGTATCTTTAGGGAACCAATTTTTAATTAATTGTAGCTCATAAACTKGTGGATTAGTGTATAAGCTGTCAGGAAATTAAATCTGTGTTTGAAGAGGAAGTAGTGCAGTTTGGATATGGTGCTTCTTATCTTTTGGTCATTGCAAAAAAAAACAGTTCTAGAATCAAAATACAGTTCAGCTGTGATATATGAATGCCGCTTTCAAATGTAGGGATTGTAGTGACTAAGGTATAAGGGAATATATTTTTTATCATCATGCATTTAAACTACAGTTTTTAGAATGGTAAAAAGAGTAAATCAGTCTAAAAGGATTTAAAATGTGTGATCACCCACCCACTGYATGTTTATTTAGAGGTTTGTGTGAAGGACTGTTATATTAAATACCTTGGGTTAGAAAGGGATTTGTAAGACTGCTTGATAGTGTGTSTTTATAATTTGAAGTGGGAATAATGTAGCAATGACTGCAAAGTCAGTTTATTAAATAATTTCCTTCTGAGGTTCTAAGAAAGGAAAAGATGTGTCATTGRAACCTTAAAGATTGACTTCCCCTAACTTGGTCTACTTTCAGTAAACATTCCGTTTTCATTTTCTTTGTTGGGTGGGATTGATAAAGGAGGAGAGTCTTCTGTTGGCATTCTGTTCTGAAAAATGCAGTGTTGTTTTAGTTGCAATTGTCTTCCTCCCTATACCAGAAATGCTTTCCCTTTCTTGCTGGAAGATGCTTCTCACTTGGCTCCTTTGAATTTGGAGCCGGTTTGTACTTGTGCTCCCTGCAGCCTGCATGRGATGGCTGGGGCTGAACACTGAGCAGCTCAGTCAAAGACCCAGTGCCATCAACTGTCCTCATGTTCTGTCTGCCTGCAGGAATCACAGGTCTCAGAAAAACATCRACACCCTCCCTCTGCATTTTCACACCATAGGTAGATGTGAGAAAAGTAATGTCTAATTTCACTGTTGATAATATGTTTGACTGTGTGAAAAAAAAGGTATGTTTTTTAACCTATGACATTCTGCCGTGTCTCACCTGTACCAGGAGATTGTTTTGGGTTAATTACTTTAAATCAGTTTAGTTACAGAAGGAAGAAGGTTGGGGAAAGCTTTCTGATACAGTTGCTGATGTAGTTCAGGTACTTCCACATAACCAAGTTAGAACAAGTCTTTTTACTGATACTCATGATAAAACTTTCTCATACACGTCTTCCTTCACCTTGTGTGCATTCAGCATAATGGAATTCCTTTATGTTACTCCTGTGCTCTAGATAGAGCAGTAGATAAATGTGATTAAATAGATAAATAGATAGCAGAGTAGATAAATGTGATTGCATACAATATTTCACATCTCTCCTTTAGAGAAGTGAAAATAAAAAGTTATGTTTTATCCATATGCAGGGAACAGAATTCAGGCTACTTACATACCTACTAGTCCTCCAAATATTTCAGTAGCCTGTTTCTACCCCTTACTAGATGATGCCTTAGTCATTTTCAGTAGCAGGCATACAAAATTGAGGGTGCAAATCTTCATTCAGGAGGTCTTAACATTTCCAGGAAATGGAATTCCGAAATAATTTTATTCTAGTGCCTTTTCAGGATGTCATTTACAATTTTTTCAATGATTTTGAATGTGAATTGGCAAAATGTGAACTGATCAATTAAAGCATCTAATTGGAAGATTTTTTTTAAACCTTTTCATGCATTGTTATGCTGCAAAACATGTTTGTCTCTGTCTTAATAATTTAGATTTTTTTTTTCTTTTTCGTGTTAAGTTTTATCTATGAAAAATGATCCTCAAATACAGTATCCAGATATTAAGTATTAATATAGCTTAATTTTGATTTTGGGGGACATGTGATTATTAGAAAGACTGGTTTATCTTATTTCAATTTCWTTCAAAAGTGATTCAAGTTTACTCATTCTTGTTTATTTTTTCTTGKTTTTAGGGGGTTTTACATTGGTGAAGAGATATTGGACAACTGTTGACTTGAAAGCTGCTTTTAGGATGTCTGAAGATGAGGAAAAGGTTAAACTCCGCCGAATTGAACCTGCAATTCAGAAATTCATTAAAGTGGCGATTCCAACAGATTTGGAAAGGTTAAGAAAACACCAAATAAATATTGAGAAGGTTAGTGTTCACTTTCTACTTATGTAGTTCCTTTTACAGTATGGAAGTAGTCACACTGAAAGATTATATAGAGATTTTGCTGAGAAATTGATGACAAAATGCTTTAATTCAATTTTTGCTATAGGTGGAAGTTTTGTATTGCCTTGTAATTGTGTGCAAAAAGGCCTTTACRTTTGTGGTAAACATCAATGTTAGCAATAGTTTGGTTGAAATACTTCTATGATAATTTGTGTTTTATATCTTTTACATACATTTTAACCATAATGAATGTGTTACAGTACTTTTGTGAGCTGTCATCGTGATTTTCTCTTAAATACCTTTTGCAAAATTAACTTTCAGACATGTAAAGCAAACATCCCTAGAGGTAAAAGGATAATTTTGTAGAATCTGATCCTGTTTATTTTACAGGCTACTTTTAAGCAAAAATCACTAATTATGTCAAATYGCTTAGAGCAGCAACATTATTTACTTATGATGAAGCCAATATCTCTAACCTCATTTCATGAATATTGATTTAAACCTTGGGTTCCAGAGATAGTCCAAACAATTAATCTCCTAAATCACTGTTTGAAGAAACTATAAAATCAATGTATAATGAAATTTGACCTTGAATACACCTYTTCAGAGGAAGTGGCTACCATAAATTCATCATCATTGCTTCTCAACCATTTGAGTGTCCAACTTTCTGTATGACAGTGTTGGAAGACTTAAAAGCTATATCCATAAGGAATCAGTTCTCTGTACTTTTTCCTTTTTTTCCATGTTTTCCCCATGAAATTTCTTGTTTTCTAAAGGACATTCTATGGATTGGATGGCCTTTCAGTCCAAGAAGGAATAAAATACATGTGRTACCCAAAAGAGTTACAGCTTTCTGAACGTCTCTCTTAGATAACAGCAGTTGTCTTGGTAGTACAGGAAGGTGGAGATTTTGTTTGGCTTACTGACTTAAACTGTGTTGATGATATGCAACAGTCCTTTCAGAAAAAAAAAAAAAGGACTGTAAGACTTTTTCTGTCTTGCTTTCCGTTTTAATTTCATTTCTTGTGACTGTCCCAAAGGATGTTGTATGAAACAMTTTTTACCTTTGACTGGGAATCATTGTAGTGGAAAGATATGTGAAGGTGACACAAAATGAGAAACAAGGATATCTGAGTCTTRTTGTAGTCTTATCTGAGTGTATACATTGGTATAAGACATTTATTGAAGAGCTTTTAGCAGGAGATATTATGGCAAACTTTTGAGTTCTCTCCATGTCCACTGGMTACTTTCAAGTAGAGATGGAAGGGATCCAAGCCAGAAGCATGGAAGTTTCTTTCTAAAGAGAGTTCTCAAGAGAATGGACACAGAGCGAAAGAGATTGAATGTCTAAGACTAACCTAATATTTTATATTTCTGTTGTAGAATAAAAACTATTTGGCTACAGTACAATTATGATTAAATATCACAGAAATATGGAACTATAGAGTGATTTGGGTTGGAAGAGAAGCTTTAAAAGTCATCTAGTCCAACCCCCTTGCAATGGGGYGGGAACAGATTCCATTACATCAGGTTGCTCAAAGCTCTATGCAAACTGGCCTTGAACACTTCCAGGGCTGGGGCATCCACAGCTTCTTTGGGCAACCTGTTGTAGTGCCTCACCACCCTCATTATAAAATAATTTATGTCCAATCTCAATTTACCCTCTAAATGTTCTAAAGCATTACCCCTTATGCTGTCACTACAGGCCTTAGTGAAAAGTCTCTGTCTTTCTCCTAAGCCCTCTTTATTTATGGAAAGACTTAAATAGAGTCTCTCAAGARCCTTCTCCAAGCTGAACAATCCCAGCCTTTCTCAGCCTTTCTTCACAGGAAAGTGGTTCTAGCTCTTGGACCATTTTTGTGACCCTCCTYGGGACCTGACATAACAGGTTAGGATTCCATATATGTTTTCATGGACCTCCCTTAGTTTTACATGCATTTTTTCATGATACAAYCATAGAATGTTAAGGGGTTGGAATGGACCTTAGAGATCATGTAGTCCCAAYCTGCTGCCATCAGCAGGGATGCCTCTCACTAGATTCAAGGCCTTACCCAAACTGGCTTTGAACACTGCCAGGGATGGGGCACCCACCACCTCCCTGGGCAACCTCTTCTGGTGTCTCACCACCCTCACAGTAAAACATTCCTTCCTAATCTCTAACATAAATTTCCCCTYCTCCAATTTGTCCTATCACTGGAGTTCCTGATAAAAGAGTCACTCTCCAGCTTTCTGGTAGGTTCCCTTCAGGTATTGGAAGGTTGCAATGAGGTTTCCATGCAACCYTCTCTTCTCCAGGCTGAGCAGCCTCAACTTGCACAATAAATTATGTTAATACCATCTCTTCTCAAGCTTTATTATCCTTGAGGTCCCCAGGRTGAATATGGTCCAGGAATATGGCCTACCCTGTGTTGGATGACAAAGAGAAGTCAACAAGGAGGAATTCTCTGAGCATATGAATGTTGTTGTTCTGAGTGTGTTAAGCGATTGAATTCTTTGGACTCATGACTAGCATATTTGGAATTTTGAAGCAAAGTAATAAAACCTCTAAATCTTGAAAGCAAATGAATGTGCTGAGCATTTCTAAGAGAAATTATGAAGAGCAACAGAGGTTTCCTGAGGAGTGCTTCTTAACTGAATAACATGATTTTTTATTAATAGTTATTTGGACTGTACTACAGTCAGTTGAAATCAAATAGGTGATTTTTCCCTATACCCCTTCTGTTAAAACCTCAGAAATTCCTGTTTCAGTACTCTTTCAAAGGTGACTAAATTGGAAGATCTACTGTTGATACAGGGCTTTTGTCCATTTAATTTGAAGAACACTGTTAGTGATTTTAATGGCATAGCAGTTTTTTCAGAGGCTGTTATATTCAGTTTCCTAGACAAATGATGTTAATCTGACTTTGTTGAACACTAAATCTTTTATCTTCCATAGCATTACAAAGTCCTAACATGAAGCAACTTCTTCCCCTGAAAATAAAGTGTAACTCTAGATTTCTCACTGTATTTCAGGAAGCTGAGTAACTTATGATCCTTATTGCTGTGGCATCTAAAATTATGAAAATAATTATAGATATATATAGGCTGTAGATAGTTTTTTATTGGTAACAAAGCATATTAAGAAATTGAAGAATTAAACTTTACATTAAAATACCTTCCAAATCATGGTAAATATTTTGTCTTGTGATTTAAACAATTAAATAAATATTCTAATATTGTAAATGSATTCTTTGATAGTTTCAGCACACATTCCAGTAATCACAGCTTTTAATTCTATTATTTTACTGCTCTTTTTCATGRTAAAATCTCTGTATTATTTGTGTCAACTGCCTATAGCAAGGACTGATTTAATTTAGTGATGACAAGGTTGATGGGTGATAATATGCAGTTCTTCTGGCAAACTTGCTCTCTGCTAATGTAATAACTTGTCTGGTCTCTGTCCCGTGGGAAGTACTCTGTGGATAGTTTCCACTGAAGTTACTGGAGCTTCATGGAGGTGCCAGATCTGTCCTGATGGTTCTTGTAGCTGTGTTTGTAACGRTATAGAAATGTTAAGTATAAATGTAGACAGTAGCATTGTGTAATGAATGCTACTTTCTTTGGCAACAGTATCAGATACTCCATTGTGCTATATGACCAGTACTGCTTATCCACTATTCTCCTTTCTCCTTCTGCYATTTGTTCTACTGCCCACCAAATGAATTAAGCCACAGAAAGTCAGGATGCAATAGTACTTGGATGAGAAAAACTGATGCAGGAACCCTGGTTGTCTGTAATTCAGTAAAATACATTGTACAAATTTTTTCACAAAACACTTTGTTATTTACCTCTCTTATTTTGCAGTGGAATTGTTTATGACTCAACTTCTTTACTGTCAATTTTGGAAAATTAAASTGATATTTACCAAAGGTGGCTTTTTTCCTGCACAGCCAGTTGGTAAAAATATCAATTCTAAGTTGTCTTTTTCCTCTGTTTTAGTATCARAGATGCAGGCTCTGGGACAGATTGCACGAAGAGCACATCAATGCAGGACGAACRGTTCAGGTAAGGATATGAAAATGGCTGTGCTACTGATGGGATTGAATTACATACATAGTTCTGGTTACCTCAGGCATGGACCTTCAGAGAGACATGCATTTGACAGGTGGGTTTGACAAGCACACAGTTTTGCTTTACTTCATTTAAAAGTTAGGCATTTCCTAACTGTGTCCTATGGGGCAAATGCAGTCAGAAATGTTTCCATATTCTTGAAGAAGCAAAAGTTGGGAGAGTCTGATCTTTGGCAAGCTGTTCTCTTGCATTACTAAATTAGAACACAGCTATTGCAATAAGGGATACTGCTAATTTTAAAGCGTGATTTCRGACATAGGGAACATCTGGTCTACAGTTTGGTGTGCACATCTGTTGTTAAATGCATGATGTCATCAAGGGAGGAAATACCAGCACATTTGTCAGCCTGGGCATCATCTCAKTGACTTCATGCATAGTCATCCATAACTCAGCACACAGGGAATCTTACACTGTTTCTAAAAATACCTATGTCCTGATGAAAATGATGCAAGAAGCTCAGCTAAACATCAGCTAAATAGCACACGGCCAAAGAAGAACACAACAAAGTTTGGTGAGGCAGGTATAGCATCTAGTGGCTGTAACAGCTGTACTGCCAGTATGCTGGGACAGACGTGTGTTGGCCAGGAGAGGCATCCTGTGTTGGTTCCATAGGTGTTGGTCAAAGGAGGGACCTGTATTGGCTACTATAAGTGTCTACACTGCATGTAGATCAGGATTTGCCAGCACAGATGGCACAGTCCTAAACCACTGCATCTCACAGTTCTAATACTGTAAASAGCCATGTTTGTTTCAGTGCCTTATGACTGGGAAATTAGACTGGACTAAAAATTAAAAAAAAAACCAAAAACAACTCACCTCAGAAAGACCAACTTAATTCTGATTGACCAACAGATTTAGATGGTAGGCAGAGCTGGAGTTGTGTCTTTTTTGAGGAATGAAAGATGTTAATGAGCGTTTTATTTAGTATAGATGATACAAAGTTATGCATGAAATCCAGTTGATTTCTCTGTTAATTTGGAGGTTTGAAAGTTTGTTTTGATTTTTCACCACATACTTTTGAAATTTGAATGTAAGTTTATTCTGGATATTCAAAGAGTCTCCCAAAGGTGGAGTTTTGTTGAAACAATGGCATTTTAACAGGGTGGTACAGTAAGCMTGTGTTTGCTTATGTTTGTTCCCTAATCTGTTTTCACGTTTGAATTGTGGGAAAGGCTTCTCTCTCATGACTTAATTGTCAGTATAATTTCTTTAGCAAGATAAAATCTGTCAATAATTAGAGAAAAAAWAATAATGTTGGAGATGTTATATTTAGGTATTTTAAGTGCTTTAATAAGAAAACTGCTTATTTGTCTCTAGAAACATTAATATTTGGCTTGGTTCTAATGCTTRCTGTTTTCACTTTCWGCCAAAATRAATCTTCTTACATTTTATTTAATGYTTGTTGCTTSTAGATCTGGATACAGATCTRGATGCATTAAAGTGGTTCACATTCTGATACCCAGAGAGCAGAATAAGTATCTTCTTGCATCCATGCAAGAAGAGCAGACTGGCTCTTTGTTTTAATTAAATAGTTTGGAGTACTTGATAATAAATTATATGACATGTAGAATGTGTTTGCTGTAAGCTGTTTAAATGTTTACCAATGGACTTGTGATCTGTTTGTTTGCAAAGAAATCAGATTAATTATTGTGATACCAAATGTTCTCTGCAGCACACACTTTGCTCTCAAAATTAGATGTTGTAAAAATACATTAGGAATCCCTAAGTCAATATTGACCCAAGGCAACCGCCACAGGTTTTAGACAAATAYATGCACAGCCATTCTACATTTAATCCATGTGCACATAATTAGCCATTTTTCTGAATTTTCAGTTTACCCAGAATAATTACTTCTGTTGTACTTTTGATGGTGGTCAAAATTATAATAGAAGTATAGATGAGCGTAAATCTATTCCTCTGCTTTTGGGTGACTGGGKGCCACATTAAAAACTTCTGTAATGGAAGGCAAAGAAAACAGATAAATCTTTGCACAGGGCATGAAGAGACTATTTCAAAAATATTGAGAAAATAGCTCTTCTATATCAAGTAATAGTTTTTTGATTGTGCTTTTGTATATTTTCTTTTTTAGGGACAGTCCATGGATTTCTTAAAATGTTAAGGCCTGAATAAATTTGTTGTTTTCCAGGCTTTGCTCACATACTGACTATACCACACAAGTAGTTTATTATTGCAAGRTTTAATCTAATTTCAGTGAAATGGCAGTATTTTGTTGTGACATCTAAAGTCTGCCCTGATCATTTCTGTAGTGAGAGGATGAAAAATGCTGCAGTTACTAGAGAGGAAATAAAACATTAAATGAAGAAAAAAAGGAAAAATACTGTGGATCAACAGTCTTTACTCTGTATTCTGTCCATAAAAAGAGACTGTTCACCAAAACACATTTTAGGCAGATACAGTCTCTCCACTGTGTTGCTYTAACCTGGAAAGCTGCTTGAAAAATGGTAATCTATTTCTTTTTTGTTCTTTTTCATCTTTATGATTTCTAGTTCAGCTGAAAATGGATCACAAGTAAAAGGTGGTTTCTGGTCAGGTCTTTGCATAAATCTTCGAAGCTCAGTTGAATGGCTCAGGTCTTCTGTAACGTCTCTAATATSATCTTCAGCTTAGGTGCCTCTCTGGCATAGTGTGTAGGTGTGAGGGCATTAGGAGTAGTGTAGGAAACRTTATTTCTGCAGGAGATTGTTTGTGGTATCAGTGAAGGATCTTGTAAAATCAGCTCATTATTGCCACCTGTGGCCATCTGCTGAGTAAAGATATCGTTAAACTCAAAGTTCCCTTGACCTAGCTGAGAATTTCGTAAGGCTTGAGCAACAGAGTAGAAGTGAACTGATTGTGTGGTAGTGGAACAAAAAAGCCAAATAACTTTGTGGGATATAYAAATGGGAGAGTAGTCAGTGTGGTCTCTCATACATTCTCTTTGGTCAGCAKTAGTACACAAAAGTTGCAGTTATTATGTGTCTTTTGGATTGAATTTGGAGAGTTCAAAACTCAGGAGTTTTCATAAACAAAAAGAGAATTTTGTATTACCTTCTRTGCTAAGTAAGCTTTCTTTTAAAAGTGCAAACAGTTGGGATGGCAGTGATACACTTTTAAGCTCTACCCAGAAATTAAACTCTGTACCATTAAAATTATTATGGAAAGAAGTCACAGTCATTTGCATATCTGTAACATTTATGATGTTACACCATGGTGAGCTCCTAGGATGTATCTCCTTGCAGCAGGGCTGAGGTTTCTTGCTAGGCTGAATCCATTCAACTTCTGTTTAATTGACAGTAAGTGGAACAAGAGTCCTCTCTTCAAAACCACAGAAGAAGAGCTACTAAAATTAAATTTCACTAAACAACTAAATATCATCATCTAATTCCTCCATCTTCTTGCTCAGAAATATTTTTCTTTGATTAGCAAGGTAGTAATGAGCTGTTGAAGTGAGGATCTGATTGAGCCATTCTTTAGGGTGAGCAGTTCATACCTCTTGAAGCTTCTGTTCAGGATCTGTGCAAACTCCCATCAGCCAACTGGAGTTGTGTTGGTCACTGCACAGGACTTGTAATTTGCCCCAGTTGTGGCTGCAGTGGTACAGAACCCAAGCAGATCTATGTTTTAACTCARTTTCAACTGTGAAATTCTCCTTTTTGTTTAGAAGAAGCTGCTGTGTAACAATTATTATCTCATCCCAAACTCTGTTGTCACTGTTTCACAAGTTTCGTTTGATGTGTCTTTTTCTCTTTTCATCTCCATTATGGCTAAAGACAGGATAATAATAATTTTGTTTCCTGAAATAAAACAGCAGAATGAACCTTGCATATAGTCCCCTGCATATAGTTCTCAGAAATCAGATAATTAAGTGTCGTGTCTAGATAGTCCCATTTTGTTTCTTAAATGAAATTCCAAGGTTCTATAAATAAAGAAATTTGGCACTTGGTTCACTATGACAGTGGTGACATTCTCCTTTTTTCAGTACTTAGGGGCAGACCAGGGGGGAAGATACCAGGGAGAGTGAGGTAGACTGAGATGAGAAATGTATGAGAAAAGTGACTTGCTATCATGTTTCTAATTCAACTCAGTGTCTTGCAAAAACCTTCTTTTTGTATCTCCCTTTTTTTAAATTGTCACTCAGTGGTTTTACCAGAGGTTAGTCTCGAATAATGCAGCCTAATTTGGCTAATAATACTCTTAATTTAAACATRCAATATAATCTAATCTGATCATAGTAATTTGACACACGATTTTAGTGAATCAATAGTTCTTTATTTGGATGCTTGTGCAATGTTGAACATGTTGTTGAATAACTTCCTTCCTTCTTCTCTAATTATATTTTTGGCTGTTATTTTCAGAAATATTAAAAACAATCAATTCCACTAGTGCATATAAATCAAATGAGTTCAATCTAGTTCTTGCTTTTCCAGGTAGGCAGTTTTGCCTTCCTAAGGCATTACCTGTACCTTGTTTGTATTCTGGAAGAAAACCTTTCTGTTTCTAACCACTCACTGCTGTTAATCCATGTTCTTGTTGTGTTGTGAAAAGAATATTCAAAACAATTGGTAGATAGTGTGATAAAGAATAGGATACATTGTATCACTGGCATGTAATGCAATGAATATATTTTGATTACAGTCTTTTTTTTTTTTTATAATTGGATAAGAACTTTGTCCTTAAACAAAAAGTGGTATAACTTAACCTATAAATTTCTTCTTTTCATTTGTGGGTAGAGAAAATTTGTGTGCATTTTTAGATATTAAAAGCCCAGGCAATTAAAAATCACCTTTTTTCTGGACGTAGACAGAAATTTATCTCATGGGAAATACCTGCACACATACTTTTCTTGCTAGTTGTGAATAGTTTATATCTTCTCAAAAGTCTTGTAACTAAATGAATACTTTTATGTTTTATTAAATTTGGCGTTCCAAGCAAACAAATATATTTGTCCTTCAKCTGAAAAAAAWATTAAAAGAAAAAAGTAATCTTTCTCCTTTATCCCTGAAGTTGTCTTCACAAAATGAAAGTGATAGTTTTGGGCTAGTTGGGGATTGTGAATTACTGTATTCTAGTTCCTGTGATCACCACAGTCACTTACTCGTACCAAAAAAAATTTTTGAGAAGCAGTCTCTTACTTTATTTGGATATGATTGCAGTTGTTGCAACTTGTGTAAATATTTTGGCAAAGGCCTAAATTGATCAGAGAAAGAGAAATAACTTCAGCAATTCCACAGTGCATTAATTAGTTAAAACRAAAAATAAAACAAACTGACTTGGAGATGTGGGTAAAGTACAAAATTGACAGCCAAAAAATCAAAAYAGTGGTGGGGATGGCTTCAAAGATACTTCTCCCTTGATCCTAAAGATGATGGGTGCTTTCCAGGCACTAAAGGTGTTCTGGTTTTTCTCACATAGTAAGCTACAAAAAAACTCTTTAATATTCTTGCAGCAACTCCGTGCCAATATGAGAGAGATGGAGAAACTCTGTTTGCGAGTCCGGCAGGAAGACATCCCAGTTCTGCAGAGAATGATAAATCCTGTGAAAGAAGAAGCTTCAGTTGCCATTCAAGACTTCCTGCAGCTGCATTCTGAATCCGCAGAAGAACTTAAAAGGCAGCTCAAAGGACAGGAGGATGCCTCTTTAACCAGATCTGCAACTCTGGGRCAAGGTAGTAGAATTTAATTTCTGTGTTTGTTGCATCTCTGTCATTATATCCAGTATGCAATTTTACTGATCAGATATAAATAAAGTAAATGAAGTTTTCAGTTGAAGAGTAGGTGTTGTTGAAGACATAGATTTCTTCCCCTRCACCACACTTTTGTCATGATCTGTGACTGAATTCTGCTAAGTGGAAAATGCTGAAGTGTCTCAAAAAATTAATTATCTACAGCTTTCCATGAGAAAGGTCCTGTAGCCTTGGGTCTTGAAATAGTGGACTCTTCATAGGAAGCAGAATACTTAMATTCATGTTTCAAGGTAGCTTGACTTCCTTTTTCCCCCCTGCAAATCATGTGATCAAGGACAAGTAATCATTTTGGCCATTTTCACGGAATTAGTGAAGAAATACCAAAAAAGATTTTTATATGACAGACAGTGTAATATTTCAGCATTGCTGAAATATATGGAAAAGAGGAGCAAGTCTCTAAGTAAAAAGAGCATCTGTTCCTGTAGCATTTTAACTTAGTAACTGACAAGAAAGAAGAAAAGCGTATAAATCCATTTGAATAAAAGATTTTGAAAACACACTATGACATGCTAGAAATCAGACATGTTTGCTGATCTTCCCTCTGTTTGGTATAAAATGTCTTTCAATCCTTGTTCTGCCATTCTGTCTTCAGAAACCTGTATTTTGCTCTGGTCCTGGCTAGTGTTGTCTCCTAATGAACTGTGAGAAAGCTGGTTACATCAGGATTAAATCATTCTACATACCTGAAATTAGTTTGATTGCTGCAGTATTACTTTRAATGATTTGAGCATTTCATGTGTCTTAAAATCAAGAGTATTCTTAGTCAGTGGCATTGTAGAAGAGCCTGCTGTCTGATTTCATTACCTTCTTGTTGCTACATGCAGAGCTACAAGAATTCTTTCAAGTGTGATTAACAAGCCATTGAGCTCATGGTTGAGCAAGGAGAGAAACAGATTTGACAACCGGGCTTGCTTTCACAAATGTCATGTGCAGTAGTATCAGAAAACCTTGTGAACATCAAGATATATCAAATACAGAATCACAGAACTGTTTGGGTTAGAAGGGACTCTTTGACAATCATCTAGATCCATAGACAGGGACTCCTTCCAYTACACCAGGTTGCTCAGAGCCCCATCCAACCTGGCCTTGAACACTTSTAGGGATGGGGTCATCCACAACTTCTCTGGACAGCCTGTGTCAGTGTCTCACAAGCCCCATTGTAAAAAACATTCCTCTTCTTACAAGGCCAACACAAAAGACTGAATTGGCTTCTGACAAGTAAATCTTGACCTCTTCAACACCTTCAGCATGTTGTAGTTGGTTGTTCAGTAGTTTGTCCTAATATCTTTGTGGATTTCACAGTCTCTTCTGCAGTCCTCAGGGAACACCTTATTCAAGTTCTCAAAAATATGCTTGAAGTTTCAGAGGCTTTTTCTTAAATGTTCTAGAGTGACTTTCATCAAACACTCAGACCCTAAATAGGCCTAGCTCATCTAAGTATTTTTAACCTGTTCTCWTTATGTTTCAGCCTATATCTCTTTTTCTTTCTTATTTAAATTAATTGCATCAAATACCTGCTTAAAGCTACCTTTTTATCTGCCAATGCTCTTACAGTTCCTTGGTCTCCCTCTTACTTCAAAAACATTCACAGAAACTTCCTTGCTACCATTTTCATGCCCCTTGGTAGCTGCAATTTATTTGTGTCCTGGTCTTTCTGATATTAACTTTCTGTGCTTACATTTTTTTTTGTGCTCATACTGTGTGCCAAATTCTTGACATCCAGGGCATGAGAGAGCTTTTGCTGAAGCCATAAACATCTTCCTCGGTATCAGGACAATTTGGTGTCATCTTCAGCACAGCCTATTCCRTTAGTGTCTGCCAGTAATTCTGCAGTTCTTTATCTTTTAGGAACCTCTTCCACATAGTTTCTATTAATCATTTTAACGAATTTGTTGACATCTCTTTTGTGGGGAGCTCATTGTCTTCAGTAATCAGTGATTCCATTCATATATAGTAGCCATTACTTCAGYCTGTTTGTGAGCTCTTTTCTGTTACAATCAGAACTAAATTTAAGATATATTTTCTCTTGGTGACTTTCTGCAGTTGTTCTCAGTACATTCCAGTATTTCATTGGAAAGGCCTTGTCCTGGCTTACTGCTTTTCTTTTTTACACAATTACATAGGTGGCAAATGGGAGCTGGAGTTTAATTTCAAAGAACAGGGCTGCTTCTGAAATCTGAAATACCTTTGAAGTACAGAGGGCATTGAGTATAACAGCACTTCATAAGGAGAATAAATTGATCAGAAAGATGGGGATGAGAAGAACAGAAAAATATTAGTGGAATGACAAGCATCTGCAAGTCGGCTCAGGAATGTGGAAATAATTCACCCCATTTAAAGTGAAACAGACAGACAGGCAGACAACTAAATACAATTAAACAGATTTTTTTCTTTTTTTTTTTGAGTTTGCCTGCCTGTGCAAGCAGCCCTGTTGAATTGCTAACACAGACACAATATATTGCCTATTCTTCTGTGCTTAGTRGCTGCAGTCCTGAAAGCAAATCTTGGCTGTTGATCTTAATCAAAGCAGTTTCAATACGTGCCTGTTCTTTGTAGCATGTTGCTTCCCATCTGGTAGAGAAGGAAGGAGTTTACAAATTCAAATCTCCCRTTTAGAAGGCATGTCAGTGATACGATACAGTCCCTTCCCCCATTCACCATCCTCAGCCAGGGTCAATAGAAATGGAATTTAATTGCATATTAAACAAATATTAACAAAAGGTGAGACTCCACTCTTAAAATTATTAAAATCTTTTAAGCAACATATTGAATTCTCCAGAGCATTAGATTTTTATCTCAAGTGTAATGAGGTGAAAAGCTGCTCTGTGAAATCTGCAGAGGTGTTCTGTATTATTTCTGTGGAGATGCTGTAAGTGAACTGGCGGAGCCAGTTCCATTCTCAGTTCTATTAAAACTGGTTAGACTTGATGAAAAGTGAACTAGTGAATATAAATTTCTTATTCATACTTTCAGCACAAACATGACCAACTCTATTCTTTGTGTTCTTTACCTTCGTTTTTTAAAGTAAATAAAGAATTTTCATGAGGAATTTTTTCTCACTAATTTTTAGTTATTAGGTAATGATAACATATAAAYCTACTTGCAATTTTAATTTTTTTTGAATATCTGTCATGCAAAACTTTGGTATCATTTATACACTTTCAAGGATGTGCTTTTCTACAGTAGGTCAGCATAGATTATTAGGAACAGWTCAGAGCAAAGTCTTGGAAGGAGGCAGTTTTGCTTAGTGAGGTTTTAATTCTGCTTTTGAATTATGAGTAATTTTAACCAACTTAGCATGCATGTGCTGATTAGGGAAGAGTGCGCCTTTCAGGGCAGAAGAAACTTGATTGTGAAATAGGATTGTGTAGAATTGAAATAAAATCCTCAAAACCAATGATAAATGTCAGAGTATGTGGCAGAATGCTTTTCTCAAAAAAATGCATATATCATTTTGATATATGAATAATTGTATTGAAAAGGGGAAAGCARCATATTAGAACCAAATACACAACATTTATTAATCTGAGGTTATCAATCAAAAATATGTTCTGGAAGAACAGGTGATGATTGTAGAACATGAAATGACTTCCATGTCTGGATTCTTAAGGGATAGAAATAATTAGATGGAAAACCAAGCCCAAATTAAACCCCAAAATTGCCTACTGGATTCTTGTTACTCTACTTACTTAGTAATTATATCTAAATATCAACTGCATTGATGTTAGTCTTCTACTGAGCTGAGAGCAGGAAGATTAGGTACTTAATCTGTTTTGAGATATTGGGATAAAAATACTGAGAAATGGACAAATGTTATGAAAACGTATCATTTTTATTTTAACTTAAATTAATTCCATGAATAAGCATGCACGGTTACTGATTTTTTTATGAATATATTTATTTGTTTTCCATTGGTCATAGCTGTTGTTGTAACAGTTATATAATATTATTATCGTACCTTGGCACAATTATTGTTTCTAAAGATTTTAATACAATATTTACACTTTACTATTGTTAGACATCTCTAACCAGCCTTCCCCATAATAAAGCTTTCTCTTGGGAATGCCATCCCAAGGAAGGARATGCTAGTGTCCTACTAAAGGAGCAATCCCCTTTCAGAAATTGAAGTTGTCTGAATTGAGATGATTTTTGCACTGTGCTTACTTACACACATTCTCCAGCCTGCCTTTCACACTCTCAAGCTCTTCCTGTATCCTTGCATTGATGAGCCAACCTTGTTATTTCTTTATTGCCCCTCAATTTGTTGTCCACAGTTACACACATGTCTGTGACATCCGCAGTGGCTCCAGAGTGGGCTCTGGCTGGAGGAGGTGTGTGTGTGTCTGTCCATTGGAACTGCTCTCCCCAGTGCCACCTCACCAGTCTGTCATTCCCCATTTTTAACACCATACTTTGTCCTAACGTCTTCTGCACTCAATCCAGGTGATTTAGGGAGGAACACACTTGAGAATGTTTCCTGTGCATTACTGAGCTGCAAATGTCTGTCATCCTCACAGTACCAATACCCAGCTGATCCAGCACAGAATGCTGGGCACCGTATTACTTGGGTTTCACTGCTTTTGCTTTGAAAGCTTTTTCCTCCTGCTTCTTTTAGTTCCAAATGGCTGAAAATCAAACCAGGAACATGATAATCAATCATAAAATGAGTAACTGTGTGTTGAGTTTTGGCAGCACAGCATTTTTATGTGTTGTATGCGAAGTTTTTGTCCCAAGCTCAGTTTTCTCAGGCTGGTCRATACAAAATGAATTAAATTACCTTGAATCAGAAGTATAATTTAGTATCATTTCAGGACTGGTTGTGAAAATGTGCTGACAGAAATGAATCTATTTCTTTGTCAATTATATCCTTTTAACAAACTGTCTAGTGCTGTAAGACTTCTCCCTRTATGATCATTTTTGGGGCTGTTGCTTGGCTTGCATTAGGTTAAGTATCAGGTTACGCTTGTGAGGCTTCAAGAGTGAGAAAGTTTGCACACCACCTGCATCCTGGTTCAGTGCATTTATTTATAAACATCGTGTTTCTCATTCAGAAACTTTATATAGCACAGAAGTGAAGGACGGCTCCCAAAGTTTAATCCAGATCTGCTCCCGCCTTCCGGAAATACCTCAGGAAGAAAATGCAGCTGAGTCCTGGGAAAGTTTAGAAGGGGTATGTTGGAACTCCCTCCCTGCCATGCTGGAGCTCTTGTTTTTAGCAACTCTCACAAAATAGCATTTGGTTTTTATTTGCAGGACTTGATTGAGCTCAGCCAGTTGGTCACTGAGTTTTCTCTCTTAGTCTGTGTAAGTATTWATTCTGCATTCTGTCCTACAGAGTCTCCTACAAAAACTGGGTGAATGAGTAATTGCTAGGTGGGGACAAAAAAAGATGAGGATATGTTTTTCCTGAGATTCTGGCTCTGCCAAGGTGATGCTTTGAGGAGGTGGCAGTCTCYTCTTTTCAGCACTAGTGCTGGGAGCTGCTCTAAGTTCTGGTCACCAGAGCAGCTACAATGTTCCAGYCAATGCACGTGGCCATGAGGTGAACCTTAGCAGAAGCTCTGCAGTGCTGGCTGCAGACTTTTATCCAGGTCCTGTTAATTTTTACAATTCCTAATTGTAATGGTGGTGCCAACCTTCCCTGCACAGGGTGGGTGTGAGGKAGTGAGGTACCTTTTCTCACTTTATCAGGAGTGCTGGAAAAATCCCTCACCTTTATCATGCCCTTTCTCTCAGTGCTCTTGCACAATTTAAACACAAATTCCCRTCTCCTAGAGAGTTCTTTAATCTGCTTGCTGTTGGSTTAGTAGGGATAAATAACCTAGCYTTTATCCTTTCTGCTGAGTATGTGCTGCTTCATCTATACAAGAAAACCCAAGAACCATTAGACTGCAGAAATGTTCATTCAGTTCATTCAGTATTCTAAAGGTTAAAGGAAGAAGTCCTGTTCCCAGGACTTTCWGGATTTTACACTTAACCATCATTAGATGTAATAGCAAGTATCTAAGGTGGGTGGACTGCACAGTAGGTGAACATAYCAGAGCTGGTGTACTCAGCAGTTTCTGAATTAGAAAGAGGCAAAAAGTTCAGAATGTCTTTTATTGTAAGCTGAACATCAGCTATCTCATTATTTTGTGACATAAAACAGCCTGCATACTGCTGAGATTAAAATAAGAACAAACAAACCCTTAGACCCCTTATCTTCTGCTCCAGTATTCCCTGGGAGAGACTGCAGGGGAATCTGACTGACTGCATTTGGAGAAAGGATGGAATGTTTTTGTAAAATCGAACGGGAAGATACAAAGCAACATCAAGTATACTTTCAGTGCTGCCACTATTTCTGAAGTCATTGTTCTATAATGTCATAATTAAACACTTCTGTGTAAATTTCTTGATGCAGCTTTATATGTTAGAGTTATTAATGATGTTATAAATGTCCTTTCGATTTTTTTTTTTTTTAACATGAAACTCAGCAGGAAACAAAACAGGCTAGTTWGGATTATTTTTCCTTTTGGAATGCAAATTCCTCTGTTCATAGAAAAGATTTAGAAATCATATGTTTTGGGTTGTTTTCTCTAACTGCAGCATGACATTGTCTAATATCCAGCACATATTATTATTTAAATAGTTTAGATTTTCTCAAAGTAAGTCAGTAGTTTCAGCAGAGTTTATCAGATGCTAATCATGGAGCACCACWAAGGCTGCTGGGTGCAGATGAAAGCGGTTGTGGGGTCCTGATTACAGCATTAAAATGGTGTGTATTGGCTCACTGCTGCTTCCCAGCAGGTTACCTCACTCATAATTCCTTTGCATCTAGTCCCAGCAGGAGAAGATTGACAGGATTGAAGACCATGTCAACASTGCTGCTGCGAATGTTGAAGAGGGAACCAAAAACTTGGGGAAGGTAGGGATCTGCTCCTGCTGGTGAATCAATGGTGCCCTGCCTCCCAGCCACCCTCTGTATTAACCCCATTGATCTGCCGTCTTTAATGCTGAGGGAACCAGCAATTAAGGAAATAAGGAAGAAATGACCCACAGGTAGCAGGGAAAAGAAAAATCAATCTCTTGTAATTTTCTATCACATCCAGGCTGCTAGAAAACACAATTATTTAATTTGGAGGGGTCCTTTTTTAACACTGTTTTGATGCTGCTTTGGTTTACCTGCAAAGACAAGCACAGTCAGTGACTGGCTCACAAGAATCACATAAACATTAAAYAAGAAACTTGTGATTTCCATCCCATTCCATATCAGTTGCTAAAAAAATCCCAAAGCATGAGTCAGGCCCATCACTGAAAAGTCTGAACATTTCCTTAGTTTCTGATTTGATTTAATGATGGTAATCAGGTAACACCCAGTGTATGCAGCAGCCAGAACCACATGAAAGGACCTGGTTTGCAACTGCATACACAAAGACAGCTGATTTTGAATTGGTTTTAGCATGTTCTGTCATACTYTTTTTAAATACTAATTTGTTAAGTTTATTTATCACTGAGCATTCAAGTCATTGCCAAGAGCAATGAGGGGAAAATTCACATCGCCACAGGCAAGTTTTCTAACTATTTTTTTTTTCCTTTACAGGCTGCAAAATACAAGCTGGCAGCTCTGCCTGTGGCAGGTGCAGTCATTGGTGGAGTGGTGGGGGGTCCTATTGGTCTCCTTGCAGGCTTCAAAGTAGCAGGAATTGCAGCTGCACTTGGTGGTGGGATTTTGGGCTTCACAGGTGGAAAATTGATACAAAGAAAAAAACAAAAAATGATTGAGCAGGTCTCTTCCAGCTGTCCAGAGCTTTCTCACCAAAGTGCCAAAAAATCCAGCTGAAGTATAGATTCATTCTGGCCAGGAACAACAATGTAGTAGCTGAGCTAATGACAGACTTGCAGCCTTATGCTTTAAATATAAGGCTGAGTTTTGTGAATTTTGATGACAATACTGTTCCTTGGGAGGGCTAAAACAGTTGTGTCAGAATTTCTCTTTTAAGATGTGGTAACATCAGTCCTTTGAAAATTATATGGATAACTTTTAATTATRTAATTCTTAGGTAAGCTATATTCACAGCTGTAATGATGGGTGACAGGTGCTTCATGCCAAATTTGCACAATGTGTCTTGCAGACAATGCAAAAAGATACTTGGAAAATCCCAGTGCTTTCCCATGAATGCTATGAGAAGCTGGAGCTTTTATTATAGTGCTCCAAAGAAAAGGAAATAAATGCCATCAATCTTTCACTGTCATAATATTTTAAATTTACTTTCATTTATCTGGATTCCCAAACTCTTCGTGCAGTTCCCTAGGATATGAACTTACTATGTATAATAATGCACAGGGAAGCATGTGCTGTCAAAAGAAAAGGTGAAAATGTTGGGTGAGCAAAGTAAAAAAAAGTTATGTACATATCACATCTGCTTCCATCAGCCATATCAGATCAGCACTGGAAGCAGCTTCTCCTCTTTTCAGGCACCTTTTGTTTTAATTTGTAAACTCTTCACCTTGTTCAAAGTGCAGTTACAAATTAAACAGTCTAAGCAGCAACCCTGCAGGACTGCTGCTGGAGGACAATAATTTTCCATAGCTGTTCAACTCCTTGGCTTGGCCTGAGAACACCACRCAGGATAAAGAGCCAAGCTGTGGCATCCTTAACCTGAGGCCTCACATTGCTGACACAACACTTACTGCAGGACGCTGCCCTTGCTTCTGGAGCCCAGGGTGCCCTGGTGGGAGAGCTGGACAGCTTCCCTGGAAGGCAGTGCTGCAGCCAGGCCCACCCCCTCCACAGGCTGTGATCCCTCAAGGGTGTGAGGCCCCTTCTCAGTGCCAGTGCCAGGACTGGGTTGGAAATGCCAACCTGATACAGCTTACAGCATAAACCACCTTGCTTGGGCAGCTGTACTCCTGCACTCTTCAGTGCCAAAACTTCTGCTTCCACTCACACTGCAGAATAGCTGCTCAGCCTCTTCAAGATTTTGGGATGTGCTGYGGAGCCTGGATGGGGTGAGATGCTGGCAGTGCTTTTGCTCGCTTTTTATAATGGACACCTGTTACCTTACCCTCCTTAAGAAGCTTTTTGCTTCTGGAGTGTCCACTGTTAAATACAGGAGTGTTGTTTTTGTCATAATTGTGCAATTGTCACATAACCTACTGTTTGGCACATGGTCCTACCTCCACCCTTCCAGGACACTTCCCACATTACTGCTGCTACTGTTTGGGGGAACAGAAATTGAGGTTGGGAAGCTGCTTTGTAGTTTTTAGATGATTGGTTGATTCATTCTGAGCTCTGCCTGAGTCCAGTGTTACCAGGTGCACACTGAAGTCAGTGTTGAGATAAGGCTCCCTAGCAGGAACACTGTCCAAGGAAGTGTTAGAGAAAGAGCTCCCTTTCAATAACCAGTACTTTGATATCATCATTGGAAATCACTGTCTGCTAATGACAGATGATGGGTTTTTGTGCCTAGAGTCATTGTAAGCAACTGTTAGTTACAGCACAAATAACTTCTTAYGAGCAGTTCTTCCTTACTACTTTTAAAATACTGAAATTGCTATCAGCCAGAGCATTATGTCTATTTTAAGTATGTCTGAGATTCAGGGAAGCAATGTGTGCAAGAATAGTTTTCACAAGTAATTGCAGACATTGTCAAAACTGCATGTGTTGAAGCCACGGTGCCTGCACTGGTAAAATCAGCTGGAGTGCAAAACATGACCTCAGCCATTCAGCTCATTTGCTCCTGACAGGCAAAAAGCCCTTTTCTTTCAAAGCATATATTTCCGATGTAAACACAGTTAATGAGCTTGTAACAACTTCTCARCAAGGCTGTTCATTCCTTTGATATTTATTTTCTACATTTAAAGGAAGACACTAAGAAAAAAAGCTTTCTTAATCAGAAACTGTGGTTGATCCTTTGTATGATTTTCAAATGCTCTCTGCTTTCCTGCTGWATGCTGTGAAACCTTGTGCATTTAAATGACAGCAGGCACATCRGCAATGTTGCGGACTCCAGCCTCACTCCCCAAGCTGGAAAAATGCCAGGACAATCTAAATTCATAAGACTGAATTCCTGCCCCAGCTTATACAAATTCAGCTTGGTGCRCACTCATTTTATGAAATGTCTACCGCAAAAACTATTCTTCCCCCTTGCATCTCTGTGGAAGCAATTTCAAATCATTGTGTACACACTTGATGTTGGAGACTGTTATTTAAGCCATGATGTTTTAAAATAGGTGGGTTATTTACATGTGTGAAGAAACATCAGCATCTGAGTAACCAAACTAGCAATTAAATTGCTAGGCATGTTAGTCAGAAGAATTGTAAGATATAAATAATTCTTTCARACCAAATAAAAGKTTTTGCCTWTGAAACTGGTTGTAGCATTTACTGAGAACATCAGGGTTTATTTCCTGTCAGCATCCTAAAAGATAAATCCTGTCTTTTCAAATTTGATATTGTTAAAATAATTACACTACCAAGAAGAATCCTGTAATGAGTTCCTAAACACATCAGCTATTGAAATATTTACCTTGACTGAAATAAATACAAGTTCCTAAAAGTCACATGCATYCAGTAACTCGTACACACCTGATAGCTCAGAAATGGACTCAAGTTCAATTGAAAACAGTTTGGAATAGGTTTGTTCCATAATTTTGACTTCTGGAAAAGCCAAGAGAAGGGAGTGGGAAGYTGAGCATCAAATGGTAAAACCACAGRTGTAGATGAYGAGAGTGGAAGGGCTCAACTTGAARTACAACTTGGATYTTGATGAGCATTTGGCTCTCTCCAGGCAAATTCTCTGTATCATCGGGTAGGTAAAAGCTCAAGTGCCCCTCAGCAGCAGGACAAGCAAGCACAGCTCAGCTWTTGCTGTTCAGCCTTTTGCCTGCAGAGAAAAGGCACTTGAGCACTGGTACAGCCAGGTCAGTGGTCACCAAGAACCCAGAAGAATCAGGTCCAACTCCAATGAATGTACACCAAAATTACTTGAGCCTGTAACTGTCATGAAACTGCCACAGGTAATTGTCCACCTGGTGCTGGGATGATGAAGCTCTGGAAGCAAATCCTTACTCTCAAAAGCAAACTTGGATTAAGGAATAGCAGAGCGGGTTCATCTCTTTCTAGCTGAAAGCACCAGCCACTGGACTGCAGGGTGGGTGATGAGCATCTCTCGTGAGAAAGAGAAGCTTAGATATCTTTCACCAAACAGCATTATAAATCCCATTCTTCCAAGAATCCCAAGGAAAATTAGTAACCTCAGGGGAATAAGGTAAGCACTTGCAGGCACCATGTAGGAATTGACTAAAATTTCAGGTGCCAGAAAAACTCAAGCAGTTRTGTAGCAGATAACAAGAGGCAGCCTTAAAACCACACCCTCCTCACATCTTTTGATTCCAGCTGGAAAGCAGTATTGACTCAGCTGCCAAAAATGCTTGATTTGTGAATGGGACATGAGAAGATGKGGCTTCCAAGCATTTTATGTGCACTCCAAAATGCAGATTCACAAAACCATCAAAAAAGTATAGCTGTAAATAAAGCCTTGCAAYACTTTTTCAACTCTGCAGCTGCTTWGTCTGCTGTAGCTTGRTGTAGTACCAGCAACTAGCCTCAGAAATGCTCCCTAGAAATCTGCTGTGCCTGGTGCTGCAGGGAYTTGAGTCAGGAGCCTGTCCTGGCATCAACTTTTGCCCCAGCTGCACAGGACCATGCAAGTTCTGTCAGTAACTGAGCAAATGGCATTGAGCTGAGAGGCAAAATAGTCCTGAGCTCCACAGGTTGGGGTGCTTTCCTACGTAACCCTGAACCCAGTGTTCCACCTGTCCAGAGAACAAACTTGCTTCCAAGGACACTGAACCCTGGGGCCCAAGACACAGACCTTCAGTCTGTGTAGAAATTGCACTGTACAAATCCAATACTCAATCATCTCCAGCAATGCAGCACAAATCAACATATTCTGCCATCTTACAGTTTCTATATGTTCATTTCACCCAGCAGCTTGAAGGTTCATTGAGAAAAGCCCATATTCTGGTGTCATGCATAACAGCCCACAAGGAAAGTGGTAATTCCTTCTTCAGAGCAGAATTCAAAGATGATACAATAAGTAAGGCACAAGCCAGGCAAAAGGAGTAACAGAAAATTTGCAGTGGTTGTTTGAACAGTGTCTGCCAGGAAGGCAGGGACCCAGAAGGAAAACAAACAAAAAAAAAACCAAAAAAACCCAAGACTAATGGTAACATACATATAGATATAAATTTAGGACTGACAAACTCAGATGCCAGTCTAGCCTTAGTCCTCTCTTTGAAAAGTTTTCAACATTGCTGTTACAATCTTAGTTCCAGGAAATTGGAGCAGGTCAGTACAGCCCCATCATCCAAAATACAGCCATTATCATCAAAACTTTTCCTCTCCTCACCTGGTATTTTAATATTCAGGACTGTTTAATTGCTTAGACATTTACAGCCAGTAAAGCACCACACGAGGTTCTGTAAAACTTTAATTTATTCCCCTCCCAAGTATCCAGAATAGAAGACCCTCTTAAGTTGGAGAAAAATGTGACAAAGAAATAGATTACCAGGATAGCTGTTCACAGAAGAAGAAAAAGCACATACTACCAAGGTTACACAGAAAACAACCCAAAAGTCCTATTTAATGGGATAGTGCAAGTTAACAGCATGTCTCTGGCAAGGATACCTTCATTTGGATTATAAAAGTTTTACAGAGTTAGATCAAGAGTCTGGATGGGTCTCTGATATTTTACTATAGCATTAAGAATGTACTGTTTGAAAGATGCTGTACAGAATGACCCACCAAACAAATGTATTTACAAGCCTGGGGAGAAAAAAATTATTTTTCAGTTTATTCAAAATAAAAATACACATAGAATTATGAAAATATAGGTTTACTATTTCCACCACACAGAAGTCAATGCTGCTGTCTGAAAGGCTTGCAAGATTATTTCAAGTTTTTTAAAGTTCATCTTTTTCCCTCAATAAGGTGTACCTATGTTCACTGGGTGCCAGTTTCTGGAATGAGCTCTCTGGTGGGCTGCTTGCTATATCCTGAATCGGCTGAAAAACAGAACAAACAGTAAAATTGTTTGTTAGACTAATTTTAATAATCATTCATCTCCATTAAATGAATTTCTAGCATTATGGGAGTGCACACATGTCCAGCATTCTCACAAATTGAGTTGGGGTTTTGTTTGGAAGGCACGTTCCAAGTCCAAAGGAGGTGGAACACACACACATTAATTAAGTACCTCCA